AAAAAATAAATAGTTTAAGCAAAAACATTTGATTTCATACTTTTTATTCACTTGGTATGCTAGAAACTGTGAGTAGGTAATGCTGTACAAAAATCAGTAAAAATAAAAAAATCGAGATAGGAAACACCTCGTTACTTCCTGTGTTTGAACCGCTTGTTCTAAAATTGCGCTTCCATCGCACAGATGGCGCCACGGCGTCCGTTCTTTTCTCAACTCATTTCCACCACTCAATGAAACGCACGTGAACCTTACTCTCCTGAAAAAACGCACCAACCTGAAAAAAACAAATTAATGAAAGTGAGATTAGACGTCACCGTTAACGCAATGAAAATGCAATCGACGCATTGAATTACAATCTGTCAAGATTTTTTCAGCATCTAGTATATTTTCACGTATCAATATTTAATGAAGGCCGTAAGGTGGCATTACATGTACTACTCGTTTAAGTTATTTACATTTTTATTGGGCATGCTAGACCATAACAAGAAAATGAATTCGTAATCGTAATTCAACAGTTGCGTCCTTTATGGCTTCATCACCACGAAACTAATTTGTAGAAAGTCGACTGAATATTGATTGAGCCGTTTACYCTCGAAAATTATTTACTCTCAACGAAATTAAAGTCATCGCGTCTAATTTCTTTTTATTTATATACATTTTATGCGTGTACCACTTTAAAATCGACGCATTAAATATGGAAAACTAGAAATGCGCTTACAAGGTGGAAAAATTATCGCGTCGCGGACTGTTAAACGAATCTTTAGGTGCCCATAAACTGGTTCAATTAACGTGCGATTCCTAATCAAAACGCTGAAATAGCAACAATTGCTGAAATTATTGCCACACGATTGATTTTCAGACGGCTTTACGGTGTGTGCGTAAATCCGGCTTCACATAAATTTCGTTTTTTCAACCGGGGTTGTGTAATAATTGTCACGGGATTATAAAACATATTCGTTAAACAAGGTTTAATTAACGCCGATCTTAGAGGGGGCAAAACTGGAATCAATCTGAGTTACGGTGTGATTATGTTTAACGACACGGTTACAAATGTGTTGGTTTATCCACTACGATTATAGACCCGGTATATTATTGACACAATTTTGTAAAAAATAATTTAATAATTTTAAAATAAAAATTATAAGTTGTTTATTTTTCARATGCAGAAATTGTATTACATTGTAGCAACTATAAAACTACTCGAATATCTACATAACGCATTAAACATTAATTGATTATCTAGAAATTTAAAAAACATTACATAAAATTTATTTATGTTATATTTATCTACAAATACAGCGTGTTTTACAATGATTTTCATCTAGTCGCCTATAAAATTTCTTTACATGTAAAATTTTCTGTGCCGCTCTACTCTTTTTGAATCAGATAGTCCTGTCAACAGTGACGACTGTCAATTGAAATAAATTAGCATTTGGGGTTAATTAGATTCAATATTTTTTAAAGCGACATTTTTTTATTTTGCATGAAAATTCCATAGGCGACCATAATTTTAAAACACGATGTATATTTTGTGGTACAATTTAACAAAAAAAATAATAATTCAATGTTTAAGGCACTCGCTTAACAAAATGACGACTGTTCTGTTAAGTATTAAAAAATAGAAAATTTTACTTACCTATAGGTACTTATCTTTTATGTTATAATATAAGTTTTAGTTTTGCTCTCATATTTAAAGATTAAAAAAAATTTAAAACATGCAAAAAGTTTCAAAAAACATACTTATATCAAACTAAGGTATAACTATAAAAAAATTGATGACAAATAAATTGCAATAATTAAAAAAATGTTAATAAAAAAACTCTTTTTAACAAAAATTTTAAGTTATTTCAATTTAATTTTACTTTTTTTACTTCTATTTTAAAACTTTACTGTTCTCATTATAAAACTTTACCAATTAGGTATACCTTTACCATTCCTGTATAAGACACATTTCTGTTAAAATAAATATTTGCAAATTAGGTTTTTAAAAAATGTACCCACGCAATTAGACGTTAGCACAAATGGTAAATATGTGTATAAGGTAAAAATAAAATTTATATTTAATGTTTTTTGTAGCTTTTAGTTTATTTTTTTAAGTTATTATGTTTAAAAATAATAAAAACAGTTCTTTTTTATTTAAGCGACGTGTTTGCCGATTTCTACATAAATAAATCAAATTTCCGGGTGCGTCTTGTATCGAGCATAAACGCAGCTTTAATACGTTTAAATTTTTAGTATTTTTGAAGAAAACTGCTAATTATGCGCAAGTTATTAAGTTATTTGGTTAATTGCCACCGAATCCATCGATTAGTAGCAATTTATCCTCGCGATAGAATCTCCCACTGAATAATTTTCKGCCGTTAATTCGTTAATATTTAATAATCTAAAAGCATCATCTAATTTACTTCGCCGATGGTCGTTTCCTCACAATTTAAAAAAAAATGATGTGGGCACCTGTCGTCGCCCGCAGTCACACACCGATTTACATAAACGCGAATCGTTACGTTTACGATCTATTTGTAAATGCGTCTTTAATTTTAGGAAGTGCGAGCAATTATGACCGCTAGCAAATAAACGCCGGTTACGATTACGATCGTTTTATCCAAATGACCCTTAAAGTGGCCGTCTCTTACAATCGCAAGCATAAAATAAACATATCAGTGTCGTTCACGGTCTTTCAGCAATTTGCAAAGTTTACGTTTTAAACTGGCGTGTGAAAATCACTAAGTAAACGGAATGGCCTACCTGAGGTCCAGATGTTGCCAAGGCCGAAGAGTCCTACATTGCAGGTACTRCAATTCGCGGATTTCCCTGCCATAAAGCTGCCTTTACCTGAAGGGTGTCGTAGGCGTAACGTCTCGACAGTTCCTGTAATAAAAACCGTCGCCGTGAAGGACTCCAGCACCTGAAGCGCACCRGGGATTCCTACAGACAYGCACCCTCGACGTGTGTGTGACCCTAACCCTCCACGAACCCCTTATCTAAGCTCATCTGCYCTCGATGCGAAGAATAGACAGATAACCTTTCTAAACTGATTTGTCTGTTTCAATAGCATCCCGACTACARTGTTCTTTTTTATCATTTTTTTCACTCGTAAGGGCTTTGTGCCAGATAACGCCGAAACATAAACGTACTGAGCAATTACGTGCGGGTATTAGCCAGGTAAACGGTTTATGACTTTTGACCAGTCGGAGAAATTCCGTTTTTGGGGGCTTTGTTCAAGTCTAGACAGGGTGGTATCAGGTAAAGGCCCTTGTTGTGACAAGAACGTCAAACGATGGGTTTTTACGCCGATTCTTTTGAGCCGATTTAAGCAAATATTACCCAGAAATTTACACAAAGTCAATAAACCAACTCGAAGCAAGAGAGCTACTTATTTCGATGAGTGTATAACTTATTTATCTTTTTTGTTGCAAGAAATATAGTAATTGGTGTTTACTTTGGAAGAAATTCAACAGGTATTGACAAGTTACTGTTACTTGTTACTAAAATTGCACTTATATTAACCCATTATCATATATGACAGTTATATAATTAATTAAGTGCATATTTGAAATTAAAATATTATGAATAAAAGTGCGTCCCGATTGATTAATTAATGTTGCATAATATTTGCCAAACGTGAGCTTTATTTACTTTATTACATTCCTCCAATTAATGATCTTTAACTATMAAAAAAAGTTGTTATAATTTTGCGAATGGGACATTAATTACGTAACAGAAARAAATATTTAAAAAAAATCAAGACGGGGCAATTAATTATTCTCGAATTACCTTTGTAAAAAAAACACWACGTCTAGACTTGTGTCGACCGGAAAAAACCGTAGCAAAACAACGATGACCAGTAGCCGCTGTGCATAAACGGCTCGATAAAATTCAACATCACTTATCTAACCACTGAATTAAGAGATATTCATTCTTTGGAAGCAGATATAGGTAAACCGCRATGAATATTTAGGATCGCATTACGATCCCATTAAGCGGCACAACCAACAAATCTGGCGAAATCCTGCTGACCGTCTTTTTCACTCGGTGCTTCCATCAGGTGGTCCTCCCTGTGTCTGAAAATCGGGTGCYAAGCGCGCGCGGGCCGATATTATAAATTTCCCCCAACGTTTCGGACAGCATACATATGTATAAGGTGCAACTGCTAATGCCCCATTGTATTGCAAATTCCATGTTAATTTCACTGTGGCACAAGCCAACTATGATTTGTGTACGCAACAGGTGACTTTTGATCATACAAATGAAATTTTTGTGGTGGCGGTGGCGTTTGAAAAAGCCSGATCGGTGGTAAGGGGGTGTTGGGCTTTTGTGTTTGATGAATGTTCGATTTGATATTAATTGTCGAAATTTCGTGTCTTTTGGTCAATAATGTTCCGTCGCGTCCGGCAGCGTATGTGAGCCGTGCACGGTCTGTTGCCTAGCTACCGTGTCCTGCCGAGTGTAAACATTTCCCCTCCAAGGTGGGGGCGAATTGAAGGAGGAGTCGTGGAGGAGCGCGCCAGTGGCGAAGGCGGTCGATGTGACGTCACGCACTTGCGACGAGTGAGAGGTCACCAATGGCGCGCGCATTACGATAGTATATCGGGCGGGGATGGTAGTGGAGGGGGGCGAGCGCAGCGACGACTACAGAGTCTGTCCTCTGTCAGTAGTAGAAGCAGAGTCGCCGTGCGGTATGCATAACGCATGAGAGCTGACCATTAGAGTTTTTTGGTTTGATAGCATAAATGACAGTCCGTGGTTGGTGGCGGCGATAACGGCCGTGATCTAGTGAGTGTCGCAAACGGTGGCAAAGTGTACGAACACGAAGACAGTGTGGACTCGGCGGTTGGGCGGCCCTTGCAGGGCATGGCGGCCACGACG